TTCCAATCAAAAATCAAAGAACAATCACTCTTCTTTTATTCCCACATTATGCAAATAATGTGCACACCACAACTCCCTCACCTCACCAACTAATAGCTCCCCCAAGCAAGCTTGGGACTAGTAACCAATGGGGCTCATATAGGCTTGTAATGTGGCTAAATAAACAATAAAAGGGCACAAGCAACAACATGGGTAACAAGAAGGGAACAAATGTATCTAATAGTCTGAAGGCTACCTAAAAGAATGAACGCCTTCGTCCTCCTCATGTGAATAATAATAAGTCATGAAACACTACTCATAGTTGCAAATCAATACTCAAATTCGTTGACATACCAGGAATTATGGGACTATCACACATTTCCTAACCAAATCAACTAGTCAAGCACTATATTCACAAATAATTGGCAAAATTGACTCATGTTTAGGAATCCAAGCAATTAAACTTCAAATCATGACCAACAAATCCACAATGCTCATTATCAATAACCAAGAATCAAAAAAAAATTTCTCAAGTAAGGGGCACAGGGAAGCATGATTTACAATTCATTGGAACGTATTTTTGAATTTTTTTATTTTTCAATTTTTTTCGTATTTTTCATATATAAGAAAACAATAAAAACTAAACTAGGAAAGCAATAAAAACTATACTAGAAAGCAAATAAAAAGAGAAAAGGAAGAGAATTTACCAACTCTGACAGGTACGTCCTCTAAAATACCTAAGGGGTATTTTACCGAACGATCTGCCATTTGCAAAGTTATATTAGTAACTTTTAATTCTCCCATATTAAGTTTAGCGCAGACAGACGATGGCATGAAACTGACACTAGAACCCAAATCACACAAAGCTTTATCATTAAAAACATTCCCAATATGACAAGGGATAGAAAAACTACCGGGATCCTTTAATTTAGGAGGGGATTTGTTTTGCAATAAAGCGCTACACTCCTCTGTGAAAGCTACAGTTTCTACTTCATTAAAGGCCCTTTTCTTAGTCAGAATGTCTTTCATAAATTTAGCATAAGCAGGAACTTGAGTGATTAAGTCAGTAAAAGGAACTGTTACCTGCAGGTTTTTCACAACATCTAAAAACTTACCGAATTGTTTATCAAGCTTACTCTTCAGTTGTCTATTAGGGAATGGAAGTTTGATAACCAGGCTCTGCACATATCCTCCCTTATCTTGCGATTTACCCTGCACAGAAACATTAGTAGAGTTAGTATCTATTTGTAGCCCTGCAGGGCTAGCAGGATTAGCGTTTGGTATAGAGGAATCTAGATCAGGAACTGGTCTATCTTCCTTTGGCATAGGAGGTCCATCATAATGTGAACCACTCCTTAGAGTGATTGCATTGGCATGATCTGTAGGATGGATAGGTTGTGATGGTAGAGCTCCCTACTGACGAGATTGTAGGGTAGATGAAAGTTGTGCAATTTGATTGTCCATGATTTTATTATGGGCTAGGATAGAATCAATTTGCGCGTCCCTACTCTCCATGTGTTTTTGCATATTGGCAAGTATTGCTCTAATTTCTGTCATGAGAGGGTCGGAAGATGATGAGGGTGATGCTTGGCTTTTCTGGCCGAAATTAGGATGATAATATTTTTGCTGTAGTGGGGTTTGCTGTTGTGGTTTTTGCGGAGGTGGAGGGTTTCGAACATTGGTGCTCCGGTACGAAAGATATGGATGGTTCTTATACCCGACATTGTAGGAATTGGAATATGGGTTATTCTGCCTATAGGTTTGAAAGGAATTAACTTGTTCCATAGAGCTCCTACAATCTTGCTCCCAATGACCTACAATTCCACAATTTTCACAAAAAGCTTCATTGTTAGCAACAGCAGAAACATTAGTTACAGAGTTAGGAGCAGCAGTAAGATTATCTAATTTTTGACAAAAAGACATTAATTGAGCTTGCAAAAAGGAAACAGAATCGACATTATGTTTTCCTTTATTTGAAAACCCTCTCGGATTCCCATATTGGGTATTGTGTATTGCCATGTCTTCGATAACCTGTCCTGCATCGTCCACATTTAAATTCATGAACCTCCCACTAGCTGCCGAATCTAGCACTGATCTAGAAGAATTTCCAAGACCATTATATAATGCTTGGATCAACTGCCATTGTGCTAGATTGTGGTGGGGACACTCTCTCTGTAGATCCTTGAACCTCTCCCAAGCCTCATATAACGTTTTTTCGGCCTCTTGAGCGAAGTTCTGAATAGCACTCCTTAGCACCGCCGTTCTCTCTGCAGGATAGTATTTATTATAGAAATTCAAAGCAAGAGTTTCCCAGTTAGTAATACCAAGTGCAGTTCTATTCAAACCATTAAACCATAATTTAGCTTTGCCACATAATGAAAAAGGAAAAAGAATCTCCCTGATTTGGTCTTGCGTGACCCCGACTTGTCTAATGGTGTTACAATATTGGTAGAAATCTGCGATGTGAAGATTAGGATCTTCACCCTTAGCTCCACTGAATTGCTTCCTCTCTATCATAGTGATAAATTGGGGCTTGATCTCAAATTGAAATCCATCTAGAGCCGGAATGGGAGTAAGGTGCGGGAAATCTGTGAGCTTCGGTTGCGAGTAGTCACTGAGTTTCTTCTGGGCCGTCATCTCTTATTCTGAATCTGAAGGAATATCTGTGTCACTAGAATTAGAGGGACGATCTCTTCGACTGTTGTCCTCCTCAGAACCCGCCAGAATGTGTCTATAGAGTTTCCTTTGCCTATGAAAAGAACGCTCGATCTCAGGGTCGAAAAGGATGTAACCTGATCTGGAACACCTGGGCATAAACAAAGAACTAAAAGACAAATATGAGAATTGCCTCAAAGAACTAACGTTCTCTAAGGCAAAAGGGGATAATCTAGACTACAAAAATATAATAAGAAAACAAAAATAAAACCGTTTCCCCGGAAACGACACCAAATTTTGACAGGGTAAAGTCGTATCCCCTAATAAAAAATAATTACCTAAGTCCTCTAACTAAAGTAGATAGGGAAGTAGGGTCGAACTCCACAGGGAAACAAGTCTTTCTATTCCTAATTAATTATTATAGTCTAAATTATCTAAGTAACCAATATTTTTGTGAATAAAATCTAAACTACGGAGAATAAGGTCGAAAGAAATAAAGTAGGGGGAAATCAAATATTAAAAGGCCTAGGGCATAGGTTCACTAATAAGCAATATTCCAGGGCAAATCATAATAAGCAATCATCAAGCATTGGTTAATTAGATTATAAAGGGCTTTCGCTACGTATTATAATCACAGAGTTGATTTACCGGTATTAAATCTCATCTGTCGAATCTCGACTTAACCATTTATATTAATCCGCCTATTTAAACTAAGCCTAAACATCAATTCTCATCTGTCGAATCTCGAATTAATATTGCTAAACTCATACAATTAAATATGGCCAAACCTAATTGCATAGCATTAAAACAATCAATAGGAAATCAACCAAGCACTGATAATTGACAATCACAAAATTACCCCTTCATATCATTTATTAGATCCCCATAAACCCTAGAAATAAAACTACTCACGCATCATCATAACTAAACTAATCAAATAAATAAATAAAAGCATAATCAAAGAAGTAAGTAAAATAGCTGAAATTAAAAGAGAAGAAATTGTTACCAAAAAGAAATCTGGATTAATGGAAATAATTAAGAACAAAAGTTGAGAGAGAATTTAAGAGAGAGAAATATTCTAAGTAGAGAGAGAAAGTCTAAGAAAGAAGGTAATCAAAATTCCGTACAAATCTCGTACTTAAACGTTTTCTAAAACAAAAATTAAAACTAAACTAATTAGGCTCCATAAAAACACGCGCCCGGGGCCCGCCTTTTCCTTCGCGCTCCTTCTTAGCAGCATCGCCCGATCGTTCTAGACGCTCGCACGATCAGGCCACGCACAGCACCAAGCAACGCCGCGCCCGATCATGCCACTCCTTGCCCGATCGGGCCCTTGCTTCACTTTGAGGCTCGGACTTCGATTGGGCTTGATTTCTCGGCCCAATCCGAATTTCCTCCTCGGGTCTTGAATACTCGGTCCAAATACCTCGGGATCCCAATTACCGAGCCCTTAATCACCGGCTCGATGACTCTAACCGGCCTTGGGCTTCAAAGATGGTCGTGCACTTCTAATTTCCGTAGTCGCTTCATGAAAAACTCGAGAAAATACTCCAAAGGCGTAATTTCCTACAAAACTCAACAAAGACTACGAAAACACTAGAAAACACAAATTAGTAATAAAAGTGGCTCGAAAGAGCCAAAAACACTACTAATTATGACCAAGGGACGGGGGTAAATTACTATATAAAATGGATACATCACTATTATCCCATGTATTTTCTAGAATACTGTAGAGTTGGGTATTTGGCCTTATCCGTTGATGGAACCCTAGGTAATGTACATGTATATATATCCCATACCTGATGGAATATGAAATACAACGTAATAATCTTCCCTCATCTCTCTATTTTTTTCTCTTCCATATTTAACACGTTATCAGCACCATTGCTTTAGTTATCGGAAATCGGAGGAAACATTATTGTTAGCCGGCTTGTTGCACCAACCTCAATTTGCCTAATTGCAAAATATACGTACACTTCATCCAATTGAGGTGAGTGTAATTACCTCCACCTCCACTTTGTATAGATTAAAATTATATTCCAATAGATTATTTTGAACTGGATAAGATTTGGTTGATTACAATCATGAAAGTTTTGGTCTTTTGTTTGTTAATGCCGAATTACCGAATTGCATATTTTTGTTGTTTTATTTTCTTAAGTCCATATATATGAAAGTGTAATCATGTCTCATATTCGTATGGATCTATAAGCATATCTATTCGTATTCTTTGTGTTTAAAATTAAGAAATTTGTAAATTATCATGTTTTGTTTTCCTTTATGTATATATTTATGAGTAGTACACTATATATATATCATGTTTGATATTTTATGAGATCTAATTTTGAACAATATTTTGTATAGTGAAAATGTCGAATATTGCCAAGCTTGAATTTGTGGCCCTTGATATTACCGGAAAGAATTATTTATCATGGGTGTTAAATGCTAAAATATACCTAGATGTTAAAGGGCTTGGTGAAACAATCAAAGAGGCTAATGAGGCAACACCTCAAGATAAGGCTAAGGCCATGATATTCCTTCGCCATCACCTTCATGAAGGACTTAAAAATGAATATTTAACTGTGAAAGACCCACAAATCCTTTGGAGTAATCTAAAGGAAAGGTATGACCACAAAAAACAATAACACTCCCTAGAGCTCGTTATGGATGGTTGAATTTGAGATTGCAAGATTTTAAATCTGTTACTGAATATAACTCAACTATGTTTAAAATAACTTCTCAATTGAAATTATGTGGAGAAAATATTACTGATGTAGAAATTTTTGAAAAAACATACTCCACTTTCCATGCTAATAATATTGTCCTGGAGACACAATATAGAGAAAAAGGTTTTGAAAAGTATTCTGAATTAATATCCTGTCTTCTTGTGGCTGAGCAAAATAACGAGTTGTTAATGAAAAATCATGAATCACGTCCTACTAGCTCTACTCCATTCCCTGAAGCGAATGTGACAAACCATAACGAGAAAGAAACTAAAAACAGAGTCCATTCCAGCAGTAGTGGTCGAGGTAGAAGTCGCGGTCGTGGCCAATGGCGCGGCCGGGGTCGTGGACGTGGATATGGTAGATGATTAGGGGATTTTTCTCCTACCAATCGGAATGCGCCACGTGGGCCAATCAGGACCTGCCAAGTGTCCCCTAGTTGGAACTGTCAGGGCTTGCCACGTGGCACGCGCTTATTCGTCCACCTTGGACCTGTTATGTCACGACATGTGGCATACTCCATGCCTAATGGAGAAACCGGCCACCCAGGCCCAACTTCCGAGGGAAGCCCAATCGGCCCTAGGTTTACCTAAACCTAGGATGGGCACGTTTCCCAAGGTTATAAATACCTCCCTTAATCCTCATTAAGGAGAAGGACAGGACAAAAAACATTACGGAACACACTAATAACCGGCTGATCTCGCTAACAAAGCAGATTACCAACATTAAACACTCTCACCTAGAGAGACCTTATTACTTTAATTTCCGCATTAATTAATCCTTAATCAGGTACTAACTTGACCGTTGGAGGCGGAGCTCACAGGAGTCTCCGTTATTTTGCAGGTACAGGCGTCCGGTTCCAGTCTCGGAATTGTAACTCTCCCGCAGGACATCAGAAAACCCCGAAACATTTTGGCGCCGTCTGTGGGGAGAGTACTTCAGAGATGGCATCCAAGTCTGTACCGACTCCTGAAGAGAGGCGTCCCGTAGACGACCCTCAAGTTCAGTCGGACCATGACACCGAAAGTGAATTTGAAGTTGAAACTCATACGGCTTCAGACGGGACCCTAAGGGCCCGACGTACCCGTCATACCGAAAGGAGGGAACGGGAGCATCTTCAAACAGGAAGCGAGCCAGCAGGCGCACCGCCTGCTCGGCAACAGCCGACTGATGGGTCTGCTCCCATCACAAGGAACGAACTCATGACCTTCATGAGGGACTTCAAGGGAGAGATTTAAGAGTTGATCAACAAGAAGCCGCCTGCTTCAGTCAAGGAGCAGTCGGCCAAGAAACCCTCCACTTCACTGAAGAGGAAGCCAGTTCAAGGGCGAGAGGCGACTCCTCATCCTAAATCTAGGAAGCGGGAGCCACCTGCCCTTGATTTCACAAAATTCCGTTATCCTACAGGAAATAGGAAACCGGTTCGTCATATTCAGGCGGACGGGTCAAAGCAAACATTCACAGATGCTCGGCTACTGCTAGAGCAGAAGAAGAGTGACCGATTGTCAGAGTCGGCTTCTACTTCAAACTTTCAAGACAGTTTGCGAAATGCCTCGATGAGGCATACTCAGTCGTACCATGAGAGTCAGTCAGGCGGCACCTCCCGTCAGTCCGGCTTTCATAGTGCCCAGGCGGTACCAAACTTACCATTTGTGCCGCAACAACAGTATTTTATGCAGCCACCTCCATTTGGTGGACCTACAGCAAAAAACGTCCAACCTATGGACTGGCAGCTACGGTTGCTAAGACTTGGTGAACAGCCGTCAGCCTTCTCCAAGGAAATTACTGAAGCCGCTCAGCCGGCCAAAGTGAAAAATGTACTAGTAGGCGCCTATGACGGCACTACTAACCCAGAAGACCATCTGATGGCATTCACCAACCTGATGTACCTTCAAGGGTTGGATGATCCCACTTGGTGCAAGTGTTTCCCAGCGACTCTCAAAGGAATCGCACAACAATTGTTCGGCAACCTGCCGACTGGTTGTGTAAATAGCTTCAGGACGCTTGCTTACTTATTTGCCTCCAACTTCGCCATGAACATCCCTGCGAAGAAAACGACCCTTGATTTGGGAACAATTCAGCAGGGCGAGAAGGAGGGGCTTCGTTCTTACATCAGGCGGTTTAACCTGATGAGAATACAAATTCAAGGGTTACCGGATGAGGTAGCTTATACCGAATTTTTTAGAGGTCTCAAAGACGGGTCTACCTTCAAATTTGATTTGGTTCGAAAAAGGGTGGCGACTCTTCAAGAGGCCTTGATTGAAGCAGAAGCCTATATACAGGCGACTGATCTGTGTACGATTAAACAGTCGGACGGGAAAAGGTTCGACAAAAGAGAAGGACGACAGAAACAGTCGTCAAACAAAGATGAGAAAAGAAAAGAGGTCTGGGCGGCTGATTCCTCTAAACAGCCGGCCCAGAAAAAGAAAAAAGAATTCAAACCATACTCCCCAAAGTATGCGTTTAACAAGGATAACCAGTTTATCCTAAAAGAAATCAAGGGACGGATCTCAATTGAGAAGCCGGTCCCCATGAAGGGTTCTGCAAACAACCGGAACCAAGATAAAATCTGTGCTTATCATGATGACGTTGGTCATCACACCAATGACTGCATCAGTCTCATGCGGTACCTAGACCGCCTGGCTGAGCAAGGTGATCTTGACACTTATGTCAAGAAATCTACGGGGAACACTTCCTCAAAAAAGCTGTCGGCCAAAAAGAATCAACAGGCCGACAGCTCCGATACAGATGATGCAGTCGTCTACACCATTGCAGGCGGCTTCTCAGGAGGCGGCCCCACTATTAGGGGCAACAAAGATAATATAAGGCGGTTGGATGTAAATTCCGTTCACCTAGAACGGCCGTCCAAATATACATTTCCTGAGATTGTCATCACTGAAGAGGATCTAGGAGGGGTAAGGGGGCCGCATGACGACCCTCTAGTTATTGAATGTAAAGTGGCCAACCAGAGGGTTGGCCGAATCCTCATAGATACCGGGAGCTCCTCAGATCTCATCAGCAGCAAATGTCTGTCGAAACTGAAATATCAGACTGACTGCATACATCCGGCCTCCCACCCTTTAATAGGGTTTGGAGGAGGAGTCGTCCACCCACTGGGACGAGTAGATTTACCCATTCGCCTGGGCGAAAAAGGGGAAGGACGACACATGGTAGTCCGGTTCCTAGTAGTAGAGGAACTCTCGGCCTACAACATGATTCTGGGTCGACCAACCCTGAATAATTCCAAGGCTGTTATAATCCCGTCTCTTATGTTGCTCAAGTTTGAGAGGGATAATGGAACAGTCGGCTCCCTAAGGGGAGATCAGAGGATGGCCCGAGAGTGCTATCTCTCGGATGTCAAGCCCACTGTTATGGCCACTGGGTCAAGTGGTGAAAAAACAGACCTTGACAATGTCAAGGAGAGTGCGCCTGTTCAAGAAGCAGGCGGCAAAAAGAGAAAGGCGTCCCTGACAGAGTCCGCAAGAAAAGCAAGAAAATAGCAATCATTGGCAGAGGAGCGGCCGAATGAGTTCCGCCCTCAGCCGGCTGGTGAGCATGCGGACCTGATCTTAGACGACTCACGTCCTGACCGAACAGTCAAAGTTGGGACGACTGCTCTGAGAAACCTTGGTGACGACTTTCACAACCTATTGAAAGAATACAAGGACATCTTTGCATTTGAAGTCCATGAAATGCCAGACATTAGTCCTGATCTGGCGGTACATAAACTCGCCGTGGATCTGAAAAAGAAGCCGGTACGGCAAAAGAAGCGGAACCATGGCGAAGAAAGAAGTCAGGCGGCAGCCGCCGAAGTTAAAAAATTACTTGATGCAGGGTTCATTCGGCAATGTTACTTCCCAGACTGGGTTGCAAATGTGGTGCTTGTTAAAAAGCCGAATGGCACCTGGCGAATGTGTGTAGACTACACAGACTTAAACAAGGCGTGCCCCAAAGACAGTTACCCTCTGCCTAAAATTGATAACCTGGTCGACTCAACAGCCGGCCATGCCTTGATGAGTTTCATGGACGCCTATTCTGGTTTCCATCAAATTCCCTTATGGAAGAAAGATCAGGAGAAGACGGCCTTCGTCACTTATCAGGGGTTATACTGTTACACGGTCATGCCGTTTGGTCTTAAGAATGCCCCGGCTACCTTCCAACGAATGATAAACACAGTGTTCTTTGATCAGATTGGGAGAAACGTCGAGGCATATATTGATGATATGATTGTCAAGACTAAACTTCAGAAAGATCATCTGTCGGACCTCCGAGAAACTTTCGCCACACTCAGGCGGCACCATGTCATGCTCAATCCCAAGAAATGTGTATTTGGAGTTGAGTTTGGGAAATTTCTCGGATTCCTTATCAATCAGAGAGGAATAGAAGCGAACCCTGAGAAGGTGCAGGCGGTCATTGACATGCAGTCGCCTCGTACCATCCGAGAGGTTCAGAAGTTAACAGGTTGTCTAGCGGCCTTGGGAAGATTTCTAAGCCGATCAGGCGACAAATGCCTATACTTTTTCCAGGCAATTAAGAAAAAGGCAAGGTTTGAATGGGGGCCGGATGCTGAGGCCGCCTTCCAGAAATTAAAAGTTCACTTGCATTCCTTGTCGAGGCTGGTCAGCCCTTTGCCCAAAGAGGTTCTCTACATGTACCTGGCGTCTCTGATCATGCGTTAAGCGCTGTTCTCCTTGCTGAAAGGGACGGCTGTCAGCTCCCGGTCTACTTTGTCAGTCACGTACTGAAAAATGCCGAGTTGAGGTATCCCCTAGTGGAGAAATTTGGTCTTGCACTCTTCATGGCTGTTAAAAAATTGAAGCCCTACTTTTTGGCACATACACTCGTCGTGTATACAGACCAACCTATCAAGCGGCCGCTGACCATCATGGAGTCGTCAGGCCGAATGATCAAATGGGCCATAGAAATACAGAGCCTCGAAGTTACTTTCGAGCCTAGAAAAGCAGTGAAGGGGCAAGCCTTTGCTGACTTTATTGTAGAGATGACTCGTCCTCCTGACTCTCAAGTTCCAGACCAAGTATGGAAGGTATATGTGGACGGAAGCTCTACTTCAAATGGTTGTGGAGCAGGCGTCATATGTCAGTCGCCAGAGGGCGACAGGTTCGAGTATGCTCTACGCTTCAGTTTTCAGGCTTCAAACAATGAGGCAGAATATGAAGCTTTACTAGCCGGGATCCGCATGTGCAAGGCGGCAGGGGCAAGAAAAATAGACGCCTGTTCCGATTCACAATTGATAGTGAGTCAGTACAATGGCGAATACGAAGCAACCCATCCGGCCATGATCAAGTATTTACAGGCGGTCTGACAAGCAGTCGGCTCCCTTGAGGATTTCCATCTGATCCAAGTGCCG